AAGGTGTAACGCTAGTGCAGCTACGGACCGATCCACCCGGCACATAGAAAGGACCGTCCAGGAACTTGAGTGTACGGTAAAAGAGCTGAGTACATTTCAGAAGAAATGTTTACCAGTGGAGCTGTGCAAATCAGGAAAGACGCAGAAGCTGAAGTACTCATGATAGGTCTGGGAGCCGGTGTCATAAGCTCGTATCTTCATCATACCTATCCCAAGGTGAACTTTTTCAAATGTGTTCTTCGCAAGGGATGACAGTTTTTCCAGAAAGACGCATAAAAGCCTTTTTCAGATGCAAATCACAGTAGTGGAAATTGACAAGAAAATGTTAGAAATTGCAACGAAATGGTTCGATCTGGTTCTGGACCGCCGAAACACTGTCACTATTATGGACGGCATCGATTTTTTGAAGCAGGCTTTTATGAAAGGTATGGTCATGATTCATGGATAGGGTAGAGCATCGTGATGTGTGAACTGGTGTGTCAGTACAACCCCTCCCCCCAGCTTTCCCCATCACTTTCCTACCAATTACCCACATTTTCCGGTTCTTCACAAACAGGGCACATCATTGCTTGGGGATTTTATTCGAGTCCGTACTCCCCCGGCCCCTTTTTTTTGGGAGGGTTGGTACGACCCCCCCCCTCCCTCCGGCTCTATGTCGTCGAGCCGTCGAGCGGGGAGGGGGGATACGACCCCATCGGGGGTTCCCCAACAACGATATGCCCTGCTCACAAAAGGCTTTCCGTCGAGCGGGGCTGGTGGGTAAATAAAACATGTGGAACAGGAAAATTTCCTAGGTTTCTCCGACCTCCTACCTTTTTTCACCAAATTTCCCGAAAATCTTCCTATCTTTTTCCAAAAATTAACTGGTCAGCAGACCCCAAATACGACCCCCCATTGGAAAAGTACGACCCCCTATGTGTTCCACACAACGATGCTGTGCCCTGTCCATGGAGCGCAGCGCAGCAAGGACGGCCTTTTCCCTGAGCTCGCCACAATTGGTGGGAGGGGCGTCGTGCATGCTCCCCAGTCCACGCCCCATGACGCGTCCCATCGTTTGGAGAATGAAAGTAGTCATGGAACACCTCTCCTAGTTTTTTTAAATCTTGCCTATATATTGTACAGTGGGTCCTGTGCTCCAATTATTCTGTGCACTATTTGCCTTTACTGCCCCGCTCCTCCAGAATCAGGCCAAATACAATCGGGCGAGGACAACCAAAGTATATCGCATTAAACGATTCATAGTAAAAAAAATAAGCATAAACCGCAGGTGGAGCTCTAAAATTAGGACTAGTGGCGCCACTATGATCGATTCCCATATAATAGAATGTGTAACTCATTAACGCGATAGCTCGTTTTTTTCAGGGACTGCGCTACGATGTAATACTTATTGACGCGTGTACTATGAAAGAAAACGTTGCAACAAACTGTCCTGTGGATGTGTTCTACGAGAAGAAGAACTTGGATATTCTGTCCAAACTGCCCAGCAGCAGAGGTGATTTGGAAAAAATTCACGCGAATTTCTTCCACTGACCCTTCGTGAAGGGAAGAAAATGGGGAGCGGACGACGGAAAAATGCTGGAAGCTCTTAAATATCGCTGCTACTGATTTTTGAAAAAAAATTAGAGCGGAATGAATGCGGCGATACACGAATAACGGCCGTCCACAATGGGCGAAACCACTAATTTCAGGTGTTGTTATAATAAATGTGCTCAACGTCCACGGACGTCCCTACACTGCAGCACAAAAGGTACGTTTTGAGTTGTTACAGGCAGTAAAATGAAAGAACGCAAAAATCCGTAGTACAGATTATCAGGAAAAAAATCGTGGCCACAGACTAGATCATGGCGTTTCTCAGCAGGATGCATTTTCAAGGTCAATAACTGCTTACGAGAAAAGGTTTTCAAGCAGTGCACCGATCACATTTCCGAGTTTTCTCCATTGAATACGGTAAGTAACCACAGAGACACTGCTAGTTAATAGCCCTTTCACGCTAGAGAGCCACTTGAACCTTCTGGTGACTTCACAGCTCACAGTTATTTTTTTTGCCTGTACCGTCCACACTCATTGTTTGGGCGGAGACACATATGCCACTGTGCTCACCGTATGACAGCCCTACCCCTTCCAATGGCACGGTTCAGGGAACAACAATAAAACTGCGATGGGACTGTCTCCTCCCACACGATGAGCGGTGGACTGCACCTTTGATTACGCGATGTTTCTTGAAAACCCTTCTTCAACACTAACTCATAAACTGTGTTACAGATATTGACTTGTTCACATTTCGAGCGTCCTGAAAGTCTGCTGAGGAAGTACATGAAATTTGCTAACTATACCATATCCGTTAATTAAGTCCTGCGGCAGTTCTCCACTAGCTTTATCTCGATATGAATGCAAAAGTGTAACCCTTGCCAATCTTCTTACTTACTAATTGTAGTGAATTGTCGTTTCAATAAAGATATAAGTTGTGCTGCTCGTGCAGTTTTTATTCTTTGCCACGTATTCTTTGCTTAGCACGATTTTTTTGCCAAGCAAGGCAATTGGCACGATAAATCCCCAAGACGAGTAGGATTAATACGCCTGGCAGGACGGAATTCCGCGACCCTGAGCAGGCGCTGCGCAGCGCCCTTTCCAAGGAAGGTGCCCTTATAAGGGCCCTATCAAGCTACAACATACCGACCCGAACGCCCACCACGCCGCCCGCCCACAAATGGACGACCGTACCTGATGCTCGTATTGCTTCATTTGCTAAGTAAAATATGAAGCGAAGGGATTGATATGAAGCGGCCGCGGTGCTGCATGGATATATGAGTGCATGCAAGCAGCCGTATCCACCGTAGCGGGAAACATCGGGAAACTCGTCCCAAATTGCTTTCTGAATCATTCAGAACAAAGGCTTTTCTTCGCAGTTTTTGACCGTTTCACTTCGCTTTTTCGCCATTTTCCCCACTATATAGCATCCCTGCTACCATTGACCGAGAGAAAATCATCTTACCATATACCTTTGAACATGGCTGTGTGTGCGCATTTCGTGGGATAGTGCCATTTCGGGGCAGTTGCAATCTTGCCCCGAAGACCAGTAGAAGACAACGAAATTTATCTGAAATTTTTTTATAGATCGGCAAGCGAATTACCGTGTCTCAGAGTGTCTGCCTCATTGAATCCGTCTAACCGTACAATTGAGGTGCTCGTCTTTTCTACTCAAACCACAAACATACCTAAATATGGTCTCCTTTGGGTAATGGACAACAGAGTATCGACAACGCCTCTGATGCTGACCTACAGCTCGAGGTCCCGGAAAGCCGCCTAAAGAACCGTAGATAGCTCCGACTGGGCATGCCGCATAAGGACTTAGAAACAGCTGGCATACACCCGAACCGGGCATTCAAACGAGAGAAAGAGCATCACCATATCAGAGCAGCGGACCTCCATACCCAGTGGGAGGAACTCTGAAGAATAAGGAAGAGAAGACTAGGAAGACAGGTCGAACGCAATTCTTTCCGACTCACTGCAGATATCACAAACAGTAACGATAGATTTATAGTCACTATACCAGCAAACGAGAGGGCGTGTGGAGAGGGGTACTGGAGCGCTGCTAGGGTAGTCTTCTCCACCAGCTGTTGCAGGCTCAGTACTGCATCGATTGGTGGAAAGGCTGCGCTAGCCATGCTCCACTCCACATCCCCTAACGCTTCTCCTCGTATGCAAGGATCCTGATTTTACAAAGGCACGTCGTCAGGTGCAGAAAACGCAAGGCAAAGGTGATTATGTTTGTGGTTTTTTTTTCTTCCCCAACAAGGTAATGTAAGCAGTGCTCTCACCCGAAAGTTTCCCCATGAGAAATCTACTTATTACCGCCCAGTCTGGCAATAAATGGTCAGTAGCCGTCGAACTGAACGTATATTTTCCAGCATTGTCATGAGCAGCCGAATTACCGAGTGAATAAAATTAGGCGTAGTTTTACGGTGGTGCAAAGATGTGTGCATCACGTCCTGTTCCTCTCGCACTTTCCCTATTATCGCTTTCACACGAATTCGCTGTTCTTGCTGATCTTTTTTGATGCTTTTCAATTTTCCAAATTTCTTAGAAGTTGGACTTCAGTGGTTCAGAGAAGTCACTGTTATCATCACGCCTTCGGCCATTGTGTGGCTGGCGATTCCAGAATCAATAGCTTTTTTTGTTGCTCTAACAATACTATTAGTTTTGCTGGAGCAGCTGTAATGGTTTCAAGAAGCTATTGTTTTCGAAATATTCATG